ACTGAAGCAAGATCGCAATCATGATTCAGTTACCTATTGTATTTGTCATTCTTTAATCATTACTACTTTACATGAAAAGCAAAACCAAATAATTCGAATCAGTCACCTTCTTTTGATCGTCTGAGGAATTTTTTTCCGTTTTCGGCCGGCAATTCTTCACCTGGAAACGAGCAGGTAAGAATTTAGTGAGCTTTGGCGTCCAAATGTTCCATACATTGCGATAGGTATGCTTAAAAGAATAATATATAAATGAATTTCAAAATTATATCTATTTTACATAAAAGAAGCAAGTAAGAAATTAGTGAGTTTAGTGACGCAATGATACAAGACTTGTAGACAAAATCTGATAGAAAAACCAAGAAGGGTGAGCCCTGGAGGAGAACAAAATGATCGGTTGTTATAACAGTACTTTGCAAATTTGGAATATTTATAGAGTCTTGCCAAAAAGTCTTCTACAAACCCTAAAGATGGTGTTAATGACTTATCATGTGAGCGCTTCTTTATCTATTACATGTTTTTGATTAGTTCCTTTTGTTTTTCCCTCTCGTTTTTGAACTATGTGTCCTTCTCAGCTGTTCTTGGAATGTCACTTAAAGTCCCCATCGAGCCGCTATTACATTGCCATTATTCTCCATCCCAAGCTTCTCTCGGTTGCATCCTTCTAAACTTAATCATATATAATTGACCGCCCGCTTGGCAGGCTGTATTCTAGTTACTTGATAATCAATGATCTACAAGCTACGGAAGAGGAACAAGGGGATCGAAAATGAACCTCTTTCTAGTCTTCCTCGGGAGGCATCACCTGAAAACAAGCAAATAATAATTAAATAAAGTGAGCTTCGCAACGATCCAAGGCTTGTGGACAAAATCTGAAAGCAAAGACCAATGGGATTAGCAACGGCGGAGGACAAAATGATCAGTTGTCTCAACAGAGATCTGAAAAAAAGACTGAAACATATTTGCGAATAACTAACCCACATAACTGACATGATGTGGTGTCAACCTTCTGTGGCATATGTGAGTCTCTATTGAATGGTTTAATTTGGATCAATATTAATGTTTCTTTTTGGCCTTACTTGATCATACTCTCGCCATACAACGGAAATTAAAGTGCTACATTGCTCAACTGCAATATTCAACTACACCAATACAGCAGAAATGCTTATAAAAATGATATATACTTTAAATCATCAAAATAATTATGTACTTTATATCAACAGCGAAAACAAATAATTTAAAAGAACAACCTTGAAGTTGTTGGTATCCTTTTCCCTCGGCGGCCTCCTTTTCTTCAGCTGAAAACAAGCAGATAACAATTTTATCTCTTGAAAATATTTCTTGAATTTTTTTTTATTTTACATAGCTTATGAGCCTCTTATTGTACATAGCTGAATGAGCCGTTTTAAGGGTGCGCTGAAGCGCTTTTTAAATATCCATTAGCTGCTCGTCTTTTTCAGTATCAATTGTTACTATGGATTGTTAATTATCCAATTTGTCTCTTGTAAATAGTTCTTGAACCTCTTTTCTATATTGTGCATAGCTTATGCCGTTTTTATCTTTTATTTGGGGAAACATTATAGGGTCAACCTCCAGTTTCCCTTTTCAAGATGTTTTATTACTTTGTTTTTTCATGTTGAATAAATACGTCATGTTAAATGTTAAACGTTGTTCTAAATGTTTATTTTCTCTCTTTCAGAATAATTCAAAGCTAGCATATACAATTTCTAACCGAGTTTTGAAACCACTAGATCTTCACTCGAAAAAAGGTCACCTTTCTCTTGATAAGTCTGGTTCTTCATTTTCCTTTACAGCTTTTATAAACTCATTACTATAACTAGCAAGTAGGTGGTGAGAAAAAACAAGCCTTACTGCTGGAGGGTGGTATCTTGATGAAACAGTATATTCTCCTTGGTAAGTAGCAAGGGTCTTGCCAGATATTGTAATGAGTAGTTAAAAGTCAATCAATTCTGGTGACAAAAGTTGGAAAATTCTTGTACCTGTTACGAAGCATTCAATTAGACTCAAAGCCACGATACCAAACAGCAAAACAGTGCCGGAGATCTTCATGTTTATCTTGTGTTTGCTACGTTGAACAAACAAACAAATAAATAATTATAACAACAATAATATGGTGGGACGGGAGACTTCAGTGGGCTACAGAATTAAACTGCAATAAAAGAAATATACATGCACGAATCAATAAATGGTATAGATAACCTCCGAATAACACGAAATAGAGAACAGAGTAAAAATGGTTGGCGCATGTCAAGATCTTTCGCAAGCAATACCTGAGAAATCGTTGCCGGGTTATGATATAATCGTAAAATTTTAAAGAGGATAAAAATCGGCTCGTTTCTAGCCAAAGAAAACATGGCTGAAAACTCTTGCCGCAAAACATTCTTTAACATAAGTGCGAAATACCTTTGAAAACCGTATTTTATCCCTTGGATAATGAAATGTGATGAAAGTAAAAGTACCCTCGTGTTTTAGAGATAAGTTGTGTCTTTAAAAACAGGGCAATTTCAACAACAGCTTACGCTACGGAAAATTATTTTAGCCAAGGAAATTGTCTTTTTGAGCATGTTAAGCAATTTACGCCTTTGTAATCAAAAAGCCCCCAGGATCGGGCTTCACAGCCACGCGAGATCGTGCCCCGCCCGCCCTGTGTGCTAACCATCGCTTCTTCGAGACGAGGATGCCGAATAATCCAAAAAAAAAAAAGAGCACAGCCCTGGATATCTAATACTGATGGGAAAAATTTGAAAAGAAAGGCCGCATGGCATGATGAAAGCAGCTTACTTTGCACACCTTGTCACAGGACTCTGTAAGACTTTCCAATTCTTCTTCTCAGACGAGAATGAGTAACTTATGATCAAACAAGAAAGTTTGCAGTTCTTTTATGTGATTTCCGAACAAAACACAGTTATTATTTTTGGAAAACGCTTAAGGCAAGGCAAACTAATTGTTACTGATTTGTTCTTCTCTTAGACATAATCACACTTCCGTGACTAGAGAGGGTAAATGCACGTGAGAGTTGTACTACGATAACCTTGATCGTGATAAAATTCAAGAATTAATCTAATGAACATTTCAGAATTGTTAGTATTATTTGCAATTCGTGCTTGAAAAGGATCCAGTCTATTTCTCCTCTGGCCAAAGCCAAAGACGTCACCAACAGAAACCATTTCCACCGCTGTAAACAGTTGTATTGCCACTGGTCAGATGACGCAAGTAAAAGTCGAATTACTTCGGGGACTTAAGAGTACCCATTTCTATTTTCTATCATATATAGTTTTCAAACACGTTGCAATTTGAATATATATGTGATACATATACACCTTTTCTTTTTCTATTAAAAAGATGTTGACAGAATTAATTATAGGGAAAATTTTCATAAAGGAAGCAAAAAAGCTGCTGTTAAAATATCAAAAAAGGTATCGTTTCTTTGATGCAAAATGTACATGCATCGTGCCAAAATTAATGATGGCAAAAAGAAAAGATATTCATATTTAATATCTATTTTCAAATGGAGACGTTTTTGAAAACGGGTGTATGTTTATGAGTCTCTATATAAAAATCCATATATCGATAAATTACTAGAATATCTACTCTTCGTAAAATAAAATATCCGCGTGCATGGGATTTACTCTCGATGTCTTCGCACGAATAGATATCGGTGTTGTCATAGCAACCGAGTCCTTGAACGTGGCAGTTTTAAGAACGTGGCTGTTTTGAGAACGTGGCTATTTTTATGAACATGGCTGTTTTTATGAACGTGGCTGTTTTTATGAACGTGGCTGTTTTTATGAACATGGCTGTTTTTATTAACTTGGCTGTTTTTATGCACGTGGCAGTTTTTCTGGACGTGGCGGTTTTTCTTCACGCGCATGTTATTTTATGTCGTAATGATAACCAAACGTATGTGAATAATGGTATTTCTCTCCATGAATGGTGTTTTTTTTATTTAAGACTGGATCTTATTCATTCCCAAACATCAAGTAAACGTACTGTCGAAAGGTGTCTTAGCACAATGACTATGTCAAAGTAAGGTTTCGCGTAAGTGTCAGTGAACAGTCGTTCAAAGGTAAAGGCATTTGTAAGTTATTCTTTTCCGCCTCGAAATTTCCTCTAAAATAGAGATTGATGTTCAAAATACATCTATTTCAGCAATAGAAACACATTTTGGGGGGCTCTATAAAACCCGCTTGGCACCCGCTTCCCTCACGCCGGAAAAATTGCGCTCTATCACTTTTATGACATAGCTAGTTTCATGCAGGTTCTATAACCTCATAAGGGAGGCTCCCACGAGCGCTTCGCGCGCGTGGGACAGAGCCCCATACCCATGGAATATGGTCAACCTCTTTTCGATTGGTTGTCACGTGACTGACCGAACGTACGTTCGTACGTGCCCTCTGTCATGTATGGTATCACGAAAGTACTATAAGCATCATGAGATGCAATAAACCCCGAGGTGTGGAATTCAATATTGCTGTTGTGTGATACAGTACATAACACCTTCAGGCTGCACGGATAGGGTAGGGGAGACTATCAAAACGAAGGGAGCGGTGTCTCTGGCGAGTCTTGGCAAATGCACATCTTTTATGTTATCATATTATTACAAACTTGGGAGCTCCGCTTTTAGGCTTGGCTAAATCTATGTATTAAACCGTCCGCTTGAAAACTGAATTAACCTATCCGACGATGTGTACTTTGTTCATTCATGTTATAATAGATATTATTAAAAACTGGATCATTGGATAATGCAATTCAAGACTTTTTATTGGCTTAGCCATTATAGCATATCAGCCAATATACCNTCTGTTAGGGTAAGCGCTCCACTTGTAAGCAAAATAGAGGCGCAATCCCATGAGACCCCAGAAGAGGCCGAGGTACAACGACTGGTATACGTCACCGGGAAAGAAAAGGATGATAGACTAAAAGAAAAGCTTGAGGAGGTGAAGGCCTTATTAACAGACGAGACACAGAGAGCCGTAGACCTGGCCTGCGAAAAAGGCGCATCCAACTGGCTTACAGTTATTCCTCTCAAAGACATGGATTTTGATCTCAACAAGCGGGAATTTCGGGACGCTGTGAGGCTTTGATATGATTGGCCAATACCCGATAATCCATCAGTATGCGTTTGTGGGAGGTTGTTTACAGTGGATCACGCGATGATCTGCCAGCGTGGAGGCTTAGTCATTCAGCGTCACAATGAAATACGCGATCTTCAGGCCGAGCTGCTCGACATGGTTTGTCACGATGAGCAGGTGGAACCGGCTTTACATCCTATTTCAGGCGAAGAATTTCCCAGAGGGACTAATCAAGCCCCTGACGCACGCCTCGACGTCCACTGTAGGGGTTTCTGGGAGCGACACAGGGCTGCTTTTTTCGAAATAAGGGTGTGTCATCCCAATGCAGACTCATACAGAGATCTTAGCCCAAAGCAGATTTACAGGATTCATGAAAATGAAAAGAGGCGAAAATATAACTCCCGTGTAACAGAAGTGGAGCAAGGCACTTTCACCCCACCGGTATTTACAACGACGGGGGGGATGGCTGACGAATGCCTGAAGTACCACTCAAGATTAGGCCAGCTATTATCTGCAAAAAAGCAAGAGAGGTACGCCACAACAGTTTCATGGGTCAGAGCGAAAGTGTCCTTTGCAATTTTGCGGACCGCGCTCCTATGTCTAAGGGGATCTAGAACCCCGAGAAGGAGGAACTTAGACATTAAAGAAAGGGATCTGGAAGTAGAGTCGGGTCGAGCAAGACTTCCTTAAACTCATCTGTTTTAGATTATTTTTATTATTTTTATAGTAAATTTTTCTTATTATTCTTTTGCGTTGAACTTTTAAAGACTTTGCATTTCCTTTGTCAAGAGACTTAAAGTAAGATATAGACTACCTAAACAGCACATTATGATTTTATTATTCATAGCCATATAATTATGTAGTTTGGGTTAGGGATATTTTTCCTTAAAAGGAGAATTGTAACTTACAGGATTTTTTTATTTTTTTATACACTTTCAATGCAAAGATGGTGTAGTATTAAATATC